TCTTCGGTCGATAGTTCGGACAAAGCTTGATCCTCAACTTCCACATTGGAATGACCTGTCTCCCTCATTTTTGCTATTTTTCGATATTCCGTCAATTTTGCTTCTAGTGTAACAATTTTTTGTCCCATTTGAGCATGTTGAATTAATAGTGGTGAGGCTGGAATTTCTGGAACATGATCGGTGTGTTGTGACGATGATGTTGAACCAGGGGATTGAACGTTTTCTGCTTCATTAATAGTTGTGGCCGGTACTAAATTATTTGGGTTTACAGCACCTTCTGGTACTACACTAATCATTTTTGGTCGTTGCTCCAGTAAATTTGGCATTGATAGCGGAACTGCTATTGCGCTATAAAATGATGCAGGGGTAGTGGGCGACGTCAAATAAGAAGAATATGGACTTTCCTCATCCGTAGGTGAATCTGTGTATGATTCTATCATGGGTGGCCGTCTCTTTGGATCATTTAGGCTGGGTGATGATGACCTTCGATGAAGTAGAGAAGCTATGTTCACATTCAATGATGGTTCTGATCGGCGAGGAAAAGTATCTGCATGGAAAAAAAATTTTTTTTAATTATTCCCATGAGGAAATAGCGGGATGCATTTTAATTGAAATTGTATTTCCGTACTATGTTTGGGAACATATTCATCGTCCTCGTCATCGGAGTCGGAACTGTCCACATCGTCTTCGCCTTCCCCGGAAACAACATGAGCATCCCTACCACTACCCGAAACTTCTATGTCCTTCAACCATCTTTTCATGCTTGGTGTCCGAACAGGCTTCGGGGGTAGCGGAGGTTTCGTAGCTGGTGAAGTTGGTGGTTCATTTTTTGGCGTTATCGAAGATCCTTCCTCTCCGGCTTTCATCAATTTTCGAGTAGGCTTTGGCGGTATCGGTGGAGCCTTGGGTGGTGCATCATGCGGATTTTCCTCTTGTTGTGATGCTGGTAGATTTGTTGCTATATTTAGATTCGGATTTTTTCGCGGTTTTACAACTATGTCTTCCGCACAAGACAGGCATGTTCGTGATATAGTAAAAAGGGATGTAAGGGATGCCGGTTTCGAGACCACAACTGTTTAAATTACATCAGAATAAAAAAGATTTTGGTTTGTTACTTTCCCTACAGATTCACCTTGATTGACTATTTTATTTACAAGATCAGGATCTATAGATTAATATTTATGCTCTCTAATTTCTAACAGAGACCTTCTCTAATCGTATGAACATAATTGCTCTTTAATATATTTAATCTTACCATTATTTACAAATTTTATGCTATGTAGTTCTTTTGCGGTCATATCAAGTGCATCAA